CCCTGTTGAAAAAACCAGCATATGCTGGTTAGGTATGTTTTGACGCTGGGATGCTGGTTTAAGCTGATCCTTTGCTGGTTTATGCTGGTCCTTTGCTGGTTTAAGCTGGTCCTTTGCTGGTTTATGCTGGCCATTTGCTGGTTTAAACTGGTACTTTGCTGGTTTATGCTTTTCCTTTGCTGGTTTAAACTGGTCCTTTGCTGGTTTATGCTGGTCATGTGCTGGTCGGACCAGTTTAGGACCAGCACATGACCAGCTAAGGACCAGCATAAACCAGCACATGACCAGCATAAACCAGCAAAGGACCAGCTTAAACCAGCAAATGACCAGCTTAAACCAGCAAAGGACCAGCATCCCAGCTTCAAAACCTATGCTGGTTTTTTTCAACAGGGAGGTAAAATTTTCTTTTATGGCACTTCTCATGCCGTGTCTGCAAACATGATTGACAGTGGTTTAGTGACATCAAGGCTATAATGTGATTGGTTTACGAGGCACACATGATGCTTTTCCAATGTTAGAGCAGCGGAGGATGATATCTTTCCATTAAAGAGAATCTCAGAGAGCTTTTGCATCAGGAGAGTAACTATGATGCCTTGAAATAGCGCCTGCTTAGGCAGATCACTAGGTTTGGAACAGAGCCTTCAAATTACAGTCTTTGGTGATGCACAAGCAACTTCATTTGAGAGGCAAAAACACACAAACCAAGCAGAACAAACTAAAAACAAAAATGCACACTGCTATATATATATATATATATATATATATAATATACACACAATATATTTATTTCTCCCTGACGGAATGTATAAAATGCAGTTGACACCAACAAGCTTTCAACATATGATATAATGATATAATTAAGAAAAAAAAATCGATTCACACATGCATAAATGAGAATTGCACACCTTAAACACACCGTGTCAAGCTTCAGCACTAAATAAACTAGCTCTATTAGATATATACTCATATGTGTCTATACATCAAATACTGCATGGTCTGCTCAGGCTAAGATGAATCCATGACCCTGAATCAAAGACCGATATTTGCATTTGTGTCTTCATCTAGTCGAAGCCATGCCCACCACAGCAAACACAAACACACACAAACCCAAAGAACTAAATACACAGACAAAAAGAAAAACAAACTATATAGATTGTATTGCAGTTTTACTAAACAGTACAAATACTGTTAGTTTTGTCGATTTTTCTGAATAGAAATTCATTGTATCCTCTACACAACTAGTTAATTTAAGATAACGAAAAAAATGAGAATCAGAACAAATCCAACAGCAAGCGTTTGCAGCAGCAAAAGCATGCCGTCTTCCGAAGAAAATATGCAAAAATTAACTCACTACATCTCAAATATACATTGGATCCAAAAATAAGCACTGCAGTTTGTGCAATGCAGTACATTGATGCCTATCTATGCATGAAATAATACACCAGTGTGTATATATACGTAATACATATACACACGCACACACAAAGAATGCACGGACTGATTTGAATTGCAATTGCTGCAGTCCAGGACACGTACGCACACAAACACATTGTATATACACACAGAGAGATAGTGTAGTAGAACACGAACGACTGCTGATATATAAGGCACTATGGCTGGGGACAACAATGCAGCGAGCCTCTAGACACGTCAAGAGCCCCTACAAGCTTCTCTCTGATCAACATCATGCAACACATGCAGCATGTGACGAACGACTCCATTCCAAACGACACCAAAGACGCAGAGAAAAGTACAAATACTTGGAACGCAAGAAAACACGGCAAGTGGACACATTTTATGTTGTGAACAACATACAGGGCTGTCTTTACAAACAAACGTGTTGTATACAAGGTAAAGGCAATGTATAAAAATAAGTTGACCATCACATGATTTTGGACACCGTCCGTTGTTGATTTTCATTAGAGGAGTGCTAAAATCTGAAGATCTGAAAATCCGATAAGGTGATGTATCAAATGTGCAAAACAGTTTTTTAAAATTTTATTATTTATCCAATCACTTGCTTCTCAACCGTGCGCTTTCTTTACCTACTTGCTAAAGACTTTCCAAACCTTTCCTCTTTTAAAGCTCATTTTAATTGCGCTCAATTAAGTCTACGGGATTCAAAGAAACTACTTTCTTTCTCTCTTGCGCCATGGCTTTAGGTGCGAGAACCAGGTGGTATGTGGCTTCTACAGAGAACCTGGTGTTACGTCCGTGTCGGCGGCCCTCCAGAGGGTTGCAGAGCGAGTCTCAGATGTACGGGTACTGGTTTAGTTTGGTGGGACTAAGCGGGAAGCCTGCATATACAGGTGATGCGATGAAGGAGTGTGGGGGGAACAGAGGCTTGAATTGGCCTTGAGGGTGGAGGGTTGGAGAGGGCAAGAGGCGGCTGAGACCCACAGTGACCTGGTGCACAAGGTGTCCCGCCGGATGGGAGAGGCCATAAGCCGGCTGAAAGACGTGATTCCGTGTCACCCCAGGTGAAGCCAAGAGGTGGGCCATTGAGGCATTTGTCACCAGGGGCCCTGAAGGGGGGTAGGACAGTAAAGTCGGCTGGGTGTGAGGGTGAACACCCAGGTGTGTTTGAGGAGGGTGGGCTGTGTGGGTGGGACTGCCATGAGGCAGTGTGAATTTGTGGCCATGAATGGTGGGCGGGATGAACGCTTGAGGCCGGCGGTGGCTGTAGTTGCCGTTCCACTCCTGGTGGGACGACCCATAATGCTGGACCTAGAGCACAAACCAATCAGTTTATTCCAAAAAACGCAAGTGGCAATCAATTATTTAAAAAATGTACAGTATATAAAGAAAGGGTATTCAATTTGGAATTTGCTAAAGATTAAATTTAATAATGTTAGGGATGCACGTTATTAGATTTTTGCCGATATGCCGATATTTTTCAAATAATTTTGGTCGACAGCCGATGCCGATACTGACATATATTTTCCTTAGTTTTGAGCAAAAACTGATTTGTTAGAAGTAATAAACTTAATTAAAGTTCTTTTTTAATGAGAGTACATTGAAAGCCATGAAAATAACTGTAATAAAATAAATCTCAGCTGTTCTTTGTTTCTCAGACAGATGCAGTTGAAACCTTAACATTTTATTTGTTGATTTAACATTAATAGATGGTCTAAAGCAAAAGAGCTGTAAAAATTCTAAAAACCTATATTTAAGTTTTCATAATTCATTTGAAAAAAATATATTACATATTACTCAATAAATCTGTATATAGTAAATTAATTCATGTTTGTGATTTTTATTCATGTAAGCTATAGCTCAGGGGTGGCGAACGTCGGTCCTGGAGAGCCGCAGCCCTGCAGAGTTTCGCTTCAACCCAGGGACGTGGGAAGTAGGGGTGCTGAGGGGGCTGCAGCACCCCCTGTTTTCACATGGTTGCAAATGCAACGCCAGGTTTGTTCATTTAAATTTATTCAGTTTTAGCATTTAATAATTTATTTGTAATGATCTCTGAAATGTAAATTGTAAGTGTGCTATAATAAACCCATGTTTAATTTTACTTGTGATGTTTTCTATATGGGATGATTAGCCTAATCCTCATGAACACGTGACGCTAGCCCCCCACCCCAACACACACAGCACCCCCAACCGAAAGCATCTTCCCGCGCCCCTGCTTCAACCCTAATCAAACACACCTGAACAAGCTAATCAAGGTCTGAACGGTTACTAGGAAGCTACAGGCAGGTGAGTTTTAATTAGGGTTGGAGCTGAACTCTCCAGGACCGGAGTTCGCCACCCCTGCTATAGCTTCTGACCTTTAAATCAAAACAGACTCGTGATTTTATGACATTGATACTGCTTTATTCAGAAACACAAGTATCTTAATGATATTTGTGTATTTTACTTTAATTTTATTACAACTAGGCCAACAGCGCCCCCTAAGTAAATAAAACGCCTTACAGGACGGGGGAGGCTGCTGCTGTTGCTACTGCACGCTAGTAACTTTTGACTCTCTCGCACACTGGACACGTTGTTCTGTACGTGCATTCTCAAATTAAATGTGGTGATCCAAAACAGTGAATCGAATCATCATTCAGGCAAAAGTTTGCTTCAAGAATGACCACACTGCTGACGTGATCTTATCACTATCACACCCTGAGCACATCCGTCTATGAGCTATCCGTCTTATCAGCAAGGCATATCAGCATTTTTTTTTTTTTTCAAATCAGCCAATGCCGATGTTTACATTTTAAGCCTTTATCGGCCAATTCCGATAGCGTTCTGATAATACGTAAATCCCTAAATATGTTTTTAAATAATTATTAATGTAATTTAATTATTTTTTATTTTCATATTGTTTACAGTGCTTCTACTTAAATGCGGTGGTAAAATCTGTGGCAAAATTCATGCTCACTGTGAAAAGGTATCAATAATTTTTGAACGCTTTTTTTTTTTATTCACACCTCAGCTTCTTTTTATTTATTTACTTTTTACTTCTAATATATTTATTAGTTGCATTAGTACATTGTAGTAGTAGTATCTTAATATCTAGCTGACTATACAACAACCGATCAAATGACATGGAACTGACCTGTCCAAAGGGGAGCTGCTGTTGAGAGGGCTGCAAGGGCGCGAAAGCCTGTGCGGTCTTCTGTTGGCGATTCACCAGTAACGTCGAGTAGGGCGGCTGTCTGTTGGAACCACTGCGGCCTTTGGGGGGGCATGATGGCTCTATAAGTAGATGATGGAAAGAGCAGGCAAACTTAGGCAACACTCCTTAGATGCCTCATGAAATTGTGCTTGATACGTTTAAACTTCTTGCAAAAGGGATTCAGAACAACAGATGGAAAAATGACTTAAGTTCATTAACACACAAAAAATAAAATAATCGGCAAATCAAATAGTTAGCATTGCTCTGTTTTCTTGTACTTAGATCAAATGCAATAGCTTGGAGTAAACCTGGTATTTGAAAATAGAAGTTGAATTTGAAGTTAAACTAATTAGGGCTGCCCCCTAATAGTCGACTAATCGTTAGTTTTATTAGTCGCAGGGAAAAAAAACACAGGTGAAGTCACGCAGTCGGTGATGGACAGATCTTTAATGGCTGGTCTTTGTGGTAATACAGTACATCGGGCAGGACATTCAAATGCTCACCATCATTCATCGACCTCAAAAATGGCTTATCATCTGAAATATGCAAGTAGTAAAAACTTTACATGGCCGCTCAATCTAATGTTAACCTAGAAAAATGTGCGCTATTCAAATGTCTGCAGAGTGAGGAAGCTGAACAGTAGCGCTCACTGCAGGACAGATGGAGGCGCCAATGTGGACACTTGCTCTTGCCCTCATTGTCGGTCATACAGATAAGTGTAATATATCTTTCGAAACTGTAAAGACTCTACGTTTATTTGTGTGCACTCACAATATCAACAAAACATTGCGGTTTGGTAAAATTATTAAAGCAAACAGGATGCGCTTTCTGCCATCTCAGTCTCTGTGAACCTGAGCGCGAAACTCCGAAACTCTGTGTATATTTGCCTTACAGACATGAAAAATATATCTATAGAGAGCGAAATGTCTACTTTCAAATTAACCAATTCAAATGGAAAACAAATATTCTCCAATTATGTAATCCGTGTGAAACATGCATACAGGAGCATCCACTACTGTGGAGATGACGAGTCAGTGTCGCCGACTTCATCTCTTATGCTGAAAACAAAGAAAGCACTAGTGTATCAATACATTATTAAAATGTTAATGCAGCCTCCTTACTGGTTTTCCCTGACACATTCATAATCATTAGCTTCTGAAGTGCGCTGTGGCAAGCTTCATGCGTGTGCTTTAGTGATTATTAAGCTATGTAGGCAATTAAAGGCTCATTATAATGATTTAAATGGGTTATTAATAAATGTGCGATTAGTCGACTAACGCTTAAAATGAACGACTACTAGTCGACAAGAAAAATCTTTAGTCAAGGGCAGCCCTAAAAGTATTAAACTAATTTAAATTTAAATTAATTTAAAGTTTAAGATTATAATACCATAACCTGACCTTTAAATAATATGCAAGGTGTAATTTCAGTTTTGGACATGCACATTTTTCACCAATTCTCAATCCTGAAAATATACATTAGTATACATAAAACTGATTCTTTTTGCAATGAAATAACAGAAATCATGCTCCTCATCTTCAGTTCACAAATAACTGACAAACATCATGAACTAACAAATGTGCTCTGGTCCAAAAGTTTCATTGCAAATGTTGACTGCTGTCCATGATGATTGCTTATGTGCGTGTAGTGCCTCTTCTTATTTTGACGAGCTTCACTGATTTCTGGTGGATTTCTGGAGGAGTGGTGAGATTTCACCAACATCAGTCAAGTGTGACATACCCTACTATTATCAAGGTGCTTAAAATTGGTAAATGTCTCATCTTGTCACTTGCATTGTGAGTGCGCTATGGAAACCTGCTGCTTCAAACTAGAGCTATTTATATCCCTTGAGAGGTGTGGTCATTTGAACTTGACTGACTTTTTTAAGTCAGGCCTTTTCACCCAGTTGCCCTTTTTCATTAAATAATATTAATCTTTTTCATACAACATGAATTTTAACTGTGTTTGTCAGTGTTGTATTTTGATAGGGTTGGTGAGATTTGTTACCTGTGCGGCCCATCGGCTTATTATTCTGAACCCGCATGGGCGGCACCACCATGGTGCGGACGGGCAGTTTGGTAGACTCAGCCTCTGTGGTTCCATTGGCTTTGCAGTTCTGGTTGTTGTCATTGATATAGGTGGCCTCCAGGAAGGGGCTGTCAGCTCGACAGGAGGACACAGACGCGGGCGAGCCGTCTACCGTATCACATCCACTCTCACGCTCATCTTCTGACATACTGAACAAAGATCAAATAAATAGTACTCAGACACTCATAGCACACACAAACATACTCACTGAAAAAGAGTGCTTGGAATAGAACACTACATACCTTTTTTTAAATTTGTGTGTGTGTTTATATACTCACTGCCATTCAAAATTTGGGATCAGTAAGATTTTTTTAATCAAAAATACAGAAGAAACCGTAATTTTGTGAAATATTATTGCAATTTCTAATACTGGTTTCCTATTTTAATATATTTTAAAATATAATTTATTTCTGTGACGCAACAATGAATTTTCATCAGCCATAACTCCAGCCTTCAGTGTCACATGATCCTTCAGAAATCATTCTAATATGCTGGATTATTATCAGTGTTGACACTGCTGTTCTGCTTAATATTTTTTTGGAACCTGTGATACTTTTTTCTTTGATTCTTTGTTTAATAAAAAGTAAAGAAAAACAGCATTTATTCTAAATAGAAATCTTTTCTAACAATATAAGTGTCTTTACAATCACTTTTTATCCATTTAACATCCTTGTTGAATAAAAGTATTAATTTATAAAAAAATTAAAATAAATACAAAATACTGACCCCAAACTTCTGAATAGTAGTGTATATCGTAACAAAATGTCTATTTTGAGTAAACACTGTCCGTTTTAACTGTTTTATTTATCAAACAATCCTGGGGGTCAATTCTATTGCATATTTTTACATTAAATTTAGTGAATTATCTTGAGAACAAAGTTTAGCATTTAAAAATGAGGGTTGTTGATTTTACTATTTAAAAAAAGTTTTCTTATAGGTAGATTTGGCTAGCAATGATAAATTATAAAGCTTTATACAAACAGAGTAGAAGTCTAGAGCTTTATACAAACAAAGCGGAATTCTAGACTATAGGTGTGTTCACAGCAACAAAAATGTTGAATGTCACAAAAATTCAGTTTTTGCAGGCATTTTTTCTGTTCAACTGCAGACGGGCTGAATGAAAATGCAGAAATACTCTGGTTACGCCAGTGTACACAAAGCACTACGTAACTTTTCATTTCTAGAATCCACTTGTCTCAGAGAAGAAAATAAGTCAAATAGTATTACATGTTTTCAACCAGCCGTTCAGATTTGATTGGTGTTTATGAAACAACACCAAATACAAGAGGACAGAGAAGGGGAGCCACTTCTGGATTGTTTCTTTGCTATTTACTGTTGCTTAGCAAAAAGTCTGTTCCTGAGCACCACCAAGTTGCAGTATTAAGTAACAGCAGCAGCTCTGGGAATGTGACCAAAAGCACAAATCCTTTTGGTTGACCAGTTTTCTTTGCAGTGTGATGGAAAAGAGATCACACCACTAGAATATTGCTTAAAAAATTACACTGATGGCATGCAAATGTTTGTGTCCGTTTGAACAGCCATTCATATATCACACCAATATTGGTCATAGTGTGAACAGGTCTTAAGTCCTCAGACTACTAGTAAATATGTGCATGTATGAAGGTCAAACCTGTTGGGTCTCTTGCAGGGGGAGGCGCTGGACTGTTCTGAAGCAGATGAACTGGTGCTAAGGGTTGAATCGGGACTGCTAAGGGAACACACACGCTCCATATTCAGTGTGCTCTGACATGCCTCACACTCCGGGCTACCCTTGCACCTGAAACAAAGTGTGTATACTTTTTAAACACTGCCTTTTATGGGTGTGCAACATTGACAAAAAAGTCAATATTTACTGTGATTTTGTTAATAACGATAATTAGACTGTGTTTAGCTGAGTGTGTTTTTGTGCTGGTACATTGACTGGTTTAGGCCCGCTTTGGACAGTTGACTCCGGAAGCTCTTTATATTTTGTGTGGTGGTTAGTTCAAAACAGTAACAGAAATGCACCTTTTAACTTCAAATTGAACTTTAACTTTATAGGGCAATACTCCTCTTAAATTGACTGGCCATTTTATTGTAGATTATACCATATACTGCCTTTACAAGCCATTTATCACATATACAGTTCAGCTGAAATGCCATCTCGCCAATGATTTATAATGAAAACTTAAGCCCCAATTTATTAAAATCAGCTCAGGTCTACTTAATTTAAAATAGTGCAGTATCGTAATGCTGAAACCTTTTATAGATCACCAAATTCTTTTTTTTTTTTAATCTGTTATCTCTTCTTCATCTTGTCACACTGTAAACTGAAGGAGATGTAAAATATGGCCAAACATAGACGGACACATTTGGTTTCCAGTCATTTTTGTGAGGAAAAATCTTCAAATCTTGCTTCCATCTTTGGCTTCATTAAATAAATAAATTTGAGAGCAACATACGGGTGAATAAATGCTGATGGATTTTTTTTTTCTTTAAAACATCCAGACATATATCAGAAAGTGAACTCACTCTAGTGAATGTTTTTGAGTGTCCGGCCCCTCCTCATCTGTTCCACTGCTGATACTGATGACACTGCCTGCAGGGCTCGGAGAGTCGGCGATCACAATGGTCTGTCTCTGCTTCTGAGACACAGTTGAGTCCTCATACTCTGGTTCTGCTTTACAGCACACAGGCTCCTCCTCTGGCACCGCCTCTGACTCCGCCTCCACTACACAATCCGCTGCCTCCTCCTCTGTGTTTTTGACACTGTCTACCATCTTTGGGGACTGGCATGATGAGTTTTGGGAATTGGAGCTGTGCATGAAGTTGTTACTTCTGGTGGGGATGATAATGATGAATTAGATGAGCATAGGTAGGCATGGCAAGAACGTAATAATCGATGTTGCTTGCTGATAACACTTAAAAAAAAAACTGACTTCTTGATTAAAAGCACAATATGTAAGAATTTTTTATTAAAATATCCAAAAACCACTAGAACAGTGTTATATATTTTGCTGACTTGTGTACTTACATGATCCCAAATGTTTCGAAGAATGTTTAAATCCAGAGAAATAAGCAATTTTAACTAGTGACACGGACCGTGTCCATAGTGTCATTGTGTCGCCTGCCAATGACGTCATAACCCCTCGATTTCCGGTTTTGTAGAAAACATGGAAACACCAAAGACGCTTTAATATGTTGTGCGTTTTAATAGACCAGTGACGACCGCACAGAGTAAGTAGCATTATAACAGAACTTTCAAATGTATATAGTATGATAAAACTGCGCTGCTTTACCACATATACGCACGACCGGAAGGAGCGGAAGCGGTCGACTGTCGCATAATAAAAGCTCCGCTGCTTTCCAGCCGTGTGTCACGCTCGTTCAGCGGCCTCGTTTCGCTTCGACAGCTTTCAGCCTCACCCTGCTTCATTCTACTACGTTAATAAATCATTAGCTCATCCATGAACATGATTTCTGCCCGAGTCCCGTCGGATTGCATCGGCTGTGGGGATGAAGATGACAACTCCCATGATTCCATACTCAGTCACGTCGTCATCAAACTACGCCTTTGTCTCTTTGTTTATTTTGAATACGCGCCCTCCAGCGGCGAAAATTACATATTGTGCCTTTAATGTTGTTAAAGTGTGGTTCGGGACTGAAATCTCCACCAACATTTACCAAAAGACAAAAGTGTTCAACTTTGAAATGCTAATTGCAAAGTTGCTTGTAAAATGATTATGTAAAGGAATGCTGATATATTTATTGATTGATGTATTTTTTATGAATATTTAGAGGTTTATTTATTTACCATATTTACATTTTAAAAATAAACTGTATTCATTTTCTTTACAAATTAACCAATAAAAATGTGTTTGGAATGCTGAGTAATGGATGCAAACAGAGTGTATTGTGGGTGAAAGGTGTGTGTCAAAAAAAGTAACATCATGTCAAAAGTTATTTAAGTGCTTTGTGACTAAATGTTCAATGGCATTTTTTATGTAAAAACAAAATAATGTAATTATATTTTTTGACATTTAAAATAACATCAATTTACTGGTCAAAATGTAGTGATTATTTCCTTTTTATTTTTTAAATACTAATAAAAACCTTCATTTTTAAATCCATTAAAGTGGCTAATGTGTTAAGTATTATGATAGAAAAAACACATTATTGAAAATAATATATTATCTTATCATAATACTTAATTTTATATGGAATCATAACTTGGGCAAAGTTCCATTTAAAATGTGCTAATTCGTTTAAAAAGCAGTGTATAGCTAAATTTATATATCCACTATCATATTTGAAACATTCAATAACAATTTGCATTTTCCATTTTTGCATTTTAGATGTCCATTTGTCTGATCAATGCCCATTTACTTATCAATTGCAATTATTTATTTATTCAAACTTACATAGTTTAATAAACTTGAAATAAATATAATTAAAACAAACAAAACAACTTACAAATTGACCAATGTATTGATTAATAAGAGTAATGTCTTGTCGTAAACCTGAAATCTAAAAAAAAAAAAATGCAGTGCAATGCAATAAACAATTTAAGCACATTATTTTTTATAATCAACTGCATATTTACAGTTTTTAAAAATGTGCATTTATTTGTAATACTGTACAATTATTTCATAACCTGTTTTAATTAATTACTTGATAACTGGTTACTTCAAATTTTGATTTTAAGTGGCACTTCCAGTCCTTCATACATCAACCGAGTGTCTGGATATGATGTGTGGACTAACCTGTTTGAATATGGTTTATTTCTCTTGTTAGAAGCTGGCTGTGGCCACACCACATGAGCGATCCCTATGCTGATAGGCTGGTGAGCTGACATGGCCATTGGGTTGGTTAACAGTGGCTGGTGGTGGGGCATCATGGAGCTGTAATGGTTGCCAAGGGAATGAACTTTCCTGCAATAGATAATGAGAAACAGAGCCTTTCAAAGTGCATAAAGAAAGATGACTCACGCAAGAGTCTGAAACGTGTTACAACATCAGAACAATTGAGAGATAAATATAGCAGCACATACTGCTATACAATGACAGAGAGACTCGTTTCACCCACCCCCAATCCGCTAGTCTTTGTGGACCTGCCACCGTTTCTGAGGCCATTGTTGTTGCTGAAGGCACCACAGGTGCCACCGGGACCACCTGAGGCCAGGTGGGCACCAGGATCTGTTGGGCATGACTTGACCATGCTTGCTGTAAAAAAAAAAAAAAAAACCAGCTTAACTTTATGTTACGGATAAATAACGAAAGGGTAGCCATGTCTCCACCTTAGAAATCCCTTTACCTGTGTAATGACCCCTGGTCTGATCTGTAGAGGCTGGATGGCAGAGGCTTGTGTCACCAGTGGTACTGTACTTTCCATACGCACCGAGTATCCCGTTGGCTTTTTTGGGTTGGGTGGGAGACCTGTGACATGAGGTAGGTTTATTGTCATTAACTAAAACAATTTTCATTACTTGGGGGTGGGGGGGGGAAGCAAAAAAAAAAAATAATTAAATAAAATAATTAAAAAAATAAAACTATTATTTTCATTTGAAGCTGAATTAGTAAAATAACTCAAAATTATTAAAACATTATAGACAAATAACACAACACAACAAAATAACTAAAACACAACAAAATGACCTAAAACACTGACTCTAACTATAAATTAAAAAGAAAAAAAAATAGTTCAAAATATTAACAAAACTATAATAGTATCTCAATGATACTTAAACAAAACTGACATGTATTATTGTTTAAACACACACACACACACACACACGTCTGGTTTGCTATCCTTGTGGGGACTTTCCATAGGCGTAATGGTTTTTCTACTGTACCGACCATATATTCTATTGCCCTACACCTAAACCTACCCCTCACAGGAAACTTTCTGCATTTTTAGATTT